TTCCTCTGTTTACCCTATCTACACCTCTTAGAATTTTTAAGGTTTTTAATGAGGATCCATGCCTCCCCTCATTCTTCTAAACTCCAGCCAGTTTCGCCTTCACTCCGCCCAGAATAGATTCTATACCATCTGATTCGAGATCACGCTTATTGCTGCCATGCATATTCCATCTCATACAGAGCTACATCACCCACACTGTCTCCCTCCCTGTCATTTCCAAAAGTCTTTCCCACCCCCTCAATATTTGTTTGGATGTTTCACTGGAGAACCAACTCCTGTCCCAATCTCTCCTGGTCTTCTGACCAAAATATCAAAGAGTGTTACATTAATGAACAAAGCGTTGATTGTGGACAGAACACCAGGCGTTTAGAGAGTAAAGGGAGGTGATTGGTCAAGTGTCGATAATTATCAGGTTGAGTGGGGTGTTTTTGAATGTTTGTTTATTGAATTGTGATTTAGTAAGAATACTGTCAAAAAAAAAGCAAATTTCTGAGAAGGGAGTGATTTGCTTAGCCCTTTTGGAGGGCAATTAGAAATAATTCCCTTCACTTTTGGTTTGGAGTCACATGGAGTTCCAGGCTTGGAAAGGATGGCTGATTTCCTTCTCCTAACGACACCCTTTTGTCTCCGTTCAGCAGGATTTCAAGAGCCATCCAGTTTCACCATGTCTGAGGTCGTTTCTCACTTCCTGATTCTAAGAACGAACTGAACTTAAATTATATACAGCAATCAGGGTGCAATGTTTGGTGAATGATGAGAGACATGCTGACAACATGAAGAGTTATTTATTCACTTGTGGGACATGGGCTCAGCCCAGTATTTATTGTCCCTTTCCTTAGATGCCCCATTGAGAAACTGGTGGTGAGCTGTCTTCTTGAACCACTGCAGTCCATGTGTTGTAGATAGACCCACAGTGTCCTGAGGGAGGGAATTCCAGGAATTTGACCAGGCGACACTGAAGAAACGGCTGACATATTTCCAAGTCAGGATGGTGTGTGGTTCAGAGGGTAACTTGCAGGAGGTGGTGTTCCCATGTATCTGCTGCCCTTTTCCTTATATATGGAATTGGATGTGAGTTTGGAAGGTGCTATCTAGAGAATCTTTGTTGAATGTCTGCAGTGCATTTTGTAGATGGTACACACTGCTGCTACTGAGCATCAGTGATGGAGGGAGGGATGCTTGTGGATCTAATGCCAATCAATCAGGCTGCTTTGTCCTGGGTGGTGTCAAGTTTCCTGAGTGTCCAGGCAAGTGGGAGTATTTCATTACACTCCTGACTTGTGTGTTGTCATGGGGGACAGGTTTAGGAAGGTAGGATGTGAATTATTCATTGCAGGATTGCCAGCTTCTGACTTGCTCCTGTACCACAGTATTTATTTGGCTATAATCCAGTTTAATTGCTGGTCAATGATAAACTCCAGGATGTTGATAGCGGGGGAATTCAGTGATGATAACACCATTGAACGATCAAGGAGTGACGGTTACTTTCTGGAGTGCTGTGTGCATTTCTGGTCACCTCATTACAGGAAGGATGTGGTAACACGAGACGAGGTACAGAGAAGGTTTGCCAGGTGCTTCCTGGGTTGTGGTTATTGAGCAAAAATCGGCTTGGATTGTTTTCTTTAGAGCAGAGAAGACTGAGGAGGGACATATTTGAGCTGTTTATGATGATGAGGGGTTTGGACAGGGTGAAAAGAGTGAAAGTGTTTCTCTCTTGAGGGGTCAATCACAAGGGGGCATAGTTTTACGTCAGGGGCAGGAGATTCAGTGAAGATTTGAGAAAATAGTCTTTTTCACTCACAGGGTGTTGCAAATCAGGAATGCACTGCCTGGGAAGGTAATGGAGGGCAGAAAGCTTCCAATCTCTAAAATATGCTTGGATGAGCACTTGACATAACATTCAAGGATATGAGACACGTGCAGGAGATGGGATTCGCGTGCCTTTTGTTAGTGGCAGTTATTGTCGGTGCCGACTCAATGGGCCGAAGGGCCTTTTCTACGACGTATGACTCAATGACTCTCTCAATGGTAACTCCCCAGGAAGTTGATATTGGGGGATTCAGTGATAGCAACAACATTGAACATCAAGGGACAGTGGTTAGATTCTCTGTCAATGGTAACCCCCGCCCGGGTATTGGTAACTGGAATGGAAGTAAAGTCTGCATTAGCTTTTGACTCCATCGAACTGCTTAACTCTTTTAAATTATTTGCATTAAACTGGTCCCCACTGATAGTCTCAATCGATGAGCGAACTCCATGGTTTTTGAACTCGGTGTGTTTTCTCCTCAGTTCCTGTCACAGATGCTGCGCTGATATCCCGCACCAATGGGACTGAGATACAGCCCGGGGACCGCCTTGTTCTCCGGTGCCTGGTGAGGGAAGGCACTGAGCCCCAGTTCATTTGGTACCGTGACAACGTGCCGTTAAGAAACGGCAGTGCGAGCTCCCATGTGACTGCCGATGGTGGTGAGCTGGTTATTCATTCATTCCGGAGAGACAATGTCGGGAGGTATCACTGTGCAGCGATCAACAAAGGAACCAACGGCACCATTTTTAACGTGACCAGCGACTATATCGAATTCACGTTGCGAGGTAAGAGTGACAGTCAGATCAAACATAGACAGAGCGCAGAGAAAGGCCGTTCGCTCCATCCAGTCTGTGCCAGTCGGAAACAATTAACCATCTCAATTGGGAAGGTGACGGCTGGATGGTATTATCGTGAGGTTATTAATCCAACGACCTTGGTCATGTTCCCAAGATCCCAGTTCAAATCCCACTCATACTCGATGGCAGAATTTGAGCGCAATAAAAATCTGGAAGTATAAGTCTTATGGAGAGGTGCATGCAGAGGAGATTCACCAGGAGGTTGCCCTGGGGTGGAACATTTCAGCGATGAAGAGAGGCTCCATAAGATCAGGCTGTTTTCTTTGGAGCAGGGAAGGCTGAGGGGGAACTGATAGAGGTGTGTAAGTCTGAGGTTCAGGTGTGTAAGTCTGAGGTTCAGGGTCGGCGATGGGGGACGGGGGATAGCGAGCAGCTGTTCATCTGAGTGCAAGGGTGAATAATTAGGCGAGATTCATTTTGAAGTAGAAGGCAGGAGGGAAAGAGCGTGATTTGAGGATTGTTTCACTCAGTGGGTGGTGGGTGTTCCGGACTGCACTGCCTGGGAGGGTAGTTGAGGCTGGAAACCTGATAACCTTTAACAAGTACTTGGATGAGCACTCAAAGCGTCAAAACATTCAAGGCTATCAGGGGCTGGTGCGAGAAAGTGTGTTCGGTGCAGGGAGCTCAATGGGCCAATTTCTTCCACCCTGTATGACTCTCCATAGTGGCAGGGAGTTACGTATCTGCAGAGGTTAGTCAGTCTGATGCTAACCGTGTACCTCACACAGGGCTGATGTGGTAAAACTTCCCGGTGAATTTGTTAACGTGAGCCGGATATTGTTGTTGGATTTCAGCTCGGAGTTATTCCACGGAGATCGCGGCCTCGCTCGTCCCAGTTTTGCTGTTCGGTGGCCTGATCGCGTCGGTGTGGTTCATCCACCGGACGAGGGACACAGGTCTGTAACGTCCCACGGGGATGGGTTGTTCCCTGGGGCATGGCACTGCCGTCCCCGCCCTAGTGTAACCTTTTCAGCTGAACAGGGTGAGGGTGGGGGACCCGGGGAAGGAGGTGATGGGTCAGGAACTGGGGTAGGCCGTGTTCCTGACAGTAGGGAGGAAGAGCACTCAAAGTTAGCCTCCTGGATCGGGTAAATGTGATCACTACCCCCACTCCGTGTCACCTCAGAGAAGAGGAGAGACATAAGATCATGTGAACCAGGAGCAGGAGGAGGCCATTCAGCCCCCTCGAGTCCCTTCCGCTAATCCTAACCCTAAGCCTAAACTCAAACCAAACCTTCAACTAAAACCTCGTCCTAAACCCAACCCTAATACTAACTCTAATCTTGGCTCTCAGCCAAATGCTGACTAAAACCCGAACACTAACCCTAAACTTAAACCTAATCCGAAACTGAACACTAAGCCTCACCCCAACCGTGAACTTCGCCCGACACTTACCCTCAACCAATCCTTAACCCTAATGCTAAACCTAACCCTCAACCAATCCTTAACCCTCATGCTAACCTGAACCCTAAACCAATCCTTAACCCGAATCCGAACCCTAAACTTTATCACTGACCCGAACCCGAGCCCGAAGTCTAACCTTGGCCCTCACTCGCACATTAACCCTAACCCTCACCCTATCCCTTTCACAGCTGGTTAATGTGCATTAAGATGGGTTTGACAAATCTCATCTATTGATGTGTTTGTTCTCTGTTTATGACTGAGTAAAGGTCTTGGCAGCTCCTGTCTGTAAGAGTGCAATATGCTGAGAATGTCCTCTCTCTCCCTGCAGGCAATTCCTCAACTGTGTCACAGCCCAAGAGGTAAGGGGATGAAACTGCAGCTTTTATATTTTACATTGTTATCCCGATTCCTCTTAGGGAAAGAGTACGAAGAGGGAAGCAGAGGACTGTGAAACTTTGCAGAGGAACATAGATACATTGAGTGAGTGGGCAAAGGTCTGGCAGATGGAATACAATGTAAATAAATGTGAAGTCATACATTTTGGTAGGAGTAATAGTAAAAAGGATTATTACTTGAATGGTAAAAAGTTGCAGCATGCTGCTATGCAGAGGGACCTGGGTGTCCTTGTGCATGAATCACAGAAGGTAGGTCTGCAGGTACAACAAGTAATTAGGAAGACAAATGGAATTTTGTCCTTCATTGCTAAAGGGTTTGAAATAAAAAGCAGAGAGGTTATGCTTCAGCTGTACAAGGTGCTGGTGAGGCCATACCTGGAGTACTGTGTGCAGTTTTGGTCTCCTTACTTGAGAAAGGATGTACTGGCACTGGAGGGGGTGCAAAGGAGGTTCACTAGGTTGATTCTGGAGTTGAGGGGGTTGGCTTATGAGAAGAGACTGAGTAGATTGGGATTATATTCATTGGAATTCAGAAGATTGAGGGGGGATCTTATAGAAACATATAAAATTATGAAGGGAATAGAAAAGATAGAAGTACAGAGGATGTTTCCACTGGCAGGTGAAGCTAGGACAAGAGGGCATAGCCTCAAGATTAGAGGGAGCAGATTTAGGACTGAACTGAGAAGGAATTTCTTCACCCAGAGGGTTGTTAATCTGTGGAATTCCTTGCCCAGTGAAGTCGTTGACGCTACTTCAGTAAACGCTTTTAAAAAAAGGTAGATTTTTTTTTTTTGAACAATAAAGGAATTAAGGGATAGGGTGAGAACGCGGGTAAGTGGATCTGACTCCACGAAAGGATCAGCCATGATCTTATTGAATGGCGGAGCAGGCTCGAAGGGCCAGACGGCCTACTCTTGCTCCTAGTTCTTATGTTCTGATGTTCTTATTACCGTATCCTTTTAACATGAGCCTAACAAACCAGGAAACCTTACGCCTGGAAGGTCCCAGGTGGCTTTTATTCATTCACAGGGATGTGGGTGTCACTGGCAGGGCCAGCATTTATTGCCCATCCCTAATTGCCCCAGAGGGCAGTTATAGTTAACCAGCTTCTGGAATCACATGTAGGCCAGACCAGGTAAGGACGGCAGATTCCCTTCCTCAAATAACATTAGTGAAAACCAGATGGGGAATTGGGCAGCTCCTTGAGGGTGAGAAAGCTCCATTTTCGGATGGAAAACAGGGACGTGGGACCAAGGAATAACAGGATCTCACTGGGCTTTGTATTTTCCATGATAGCTTTGCTGTTTTGTTGAAGCTGAGCGTGGTGTTGAAAGCATTGTGTTCGAAATGACAACTTCCTTCCCCTTTCTACTGGAAATAGATCCCAAGCTTCTGGTGAAGGGGCAGCAGCCGGCAATCTGGAGTATGCAG